CCAGAGTGACGTGCGTGTGTGTTGCCACCCCCCAAGAGTGGCGTGCGAGTTGTTTGCCACCCTCCGAGAGTTGCTTGCGAGTGGTTTGCCACCCTCCAGAATGACGTGCGTGTGTGTTCCCTCCCTCCGAGAGTGGCGTGCGAATAGTTTGCGACCCCTCAGAGTGGCGTGCGAGCGGTTTGCCACCCCCCAAGAGTGGCGTGCGAGTGGTTTACCACCCCCTAGAGTGGCGTGGGAGTGGTTTGCCACCCCCCGAGAGTTGTGTGCAAGTGGTTTTCCACCCCCCGAGAGTGGCATGTGAGTGGTTTGCCACTCCCTGGCAGTGGCGTACGGACGGTTTGCGACCCCCTAGACTGGTTTGGGAGTTGTTTGCCACCCCCTCGAGTGGTGTGGGAGTGGTTTTCCACCCCCCGAGAGTGGTGTGCAAGTGGTTTGCCACCCCCCAGAGTGGCGTGCGAGTGGTTTGCCCTTCCCCGAGAGTGGAGTGTAAATGGTTGGCCACCCCCAAGAGTGGCGTGCAATTAATTTGCCACCTCCTAGGAGTGGCGTGTGAGTGGTTGGCCACCCCCGTGAGTTGCGTGCGAGTCGTTTGCCACCACCCAAGAGTGGCGTATGAATGGTTTGCCACCCCAAAAGTGGCGTAAGAGTGGTTTGCCATCCACCAATTGTGACATGCGAGTGGTTTGCCACCCCCTAAAGTGGCGTGGGAGTGGTTTGCCACCCCCCAGAGTGGTGTGCGAGTGGTTTGCCACCTCCTGAAAGTGGTGTGCGAGTGGTTTGCCACCCCCCAAAGTTGCATGCGAGTGGATTGCCACCCCGTCAGAGTGGCGTATGAGTGGCTTGTCACTCCCTGAGAGTGGCGTGCGGACGGTTTGCCACCCCCCAGAGTGGCATGGGAGTGGTTTGACACCCCCCAGAGTGGAGTGCGAGTGGTTTGCCACCCTTCGAGTGTGTCGTGCAATTTGTTGCCACCCCACGAGAGTGACGTGCGAGTGGTTTGCCAACCCCCCGAGTGGCGTCCGAGTGGTTTGCCACCCCCCAGATTGACCTGCGAGTGGTTTGCCACCCTCCGAGTGACGTGCGGACGGTTTGCCACTGCCCAGAGTGTCCTGTGAGTGGTTTGCCTCCCCCCCGAGTTTGTGCAAGTGGTTTTTGATGGAAATCGTGCAAATCTGGAGAGAACTAATTAGAGATTAAGTTTGACGATCTCAACGAACATTGCGTGCAGCTCAGGTAACTTCTAGAAATGAGCTTACACGCGTTGGAAAGGTCTTAATATCTACTTTCCAGAATGGTAAAGCACGTTCATAACCAAGATCTGAGCCGCCGATTATGACGAAATCAGTGTGAGGGGATATTCTGGTAATTTGGCTAGGCAGCCATGAATCACCTAGTAAAAACGAGAAGGGAAGCGGTTCGATCTGGAAAAGTTGCAGTATGTGATTGTCAAGCACCACCAACCCTTGCCCTAGACCAAACCCCAACACTCTCAAGTGCCGCGACTGCAACATCAAAGATGTTGTAGTGGGTTTGAGGTTGTATGTATTGGTAAGGTAACGAGTTCAAACCTTGCCAACCAGCCCAAGTCCTTTTGCCCAAAACCCAATAGCCCACAACCAGCTAGAGCAAACTACACCACAGAATAATGCACATTTATCACTCCCCCTTGCTCGTGCTGGGTGTGGCTCAACACCATAGGGCAAAAGACTTCACACCACTCCCCCTTGCCCATGGGTTGGGGCCACCCAGAGCATGGAGTCCGCCAAGGAGAGGAGCACCAAGACGCCGGCATCTGCTGCGGGAACCCGGTCATCATGGGGCTGCATCCTGAGCAAGGTCATGCACACACCATGGCGCTCAAATGGAAGAGCCTTGGTAAGGATATCAGCAGCCTGACGGTTGGTGGGGCACCACTGCAAAATCACCTCTCCCGCAGCCACCATCTCCCGAATGAAATGCCACCGGACCTGCTTGTGTTTGGTGCGGCCATGCAAGCATGCATTCTGTGCAAGGGCAATGGCAGACTGATTGTCCACAAACACAGGCACACCACCAGTATGAGCATGGCCAAACTCCCCAAACAAACGCCTCAGCCACACACCCTCCTGAATGCACTGACACAGACTTATGTACTCACTCTCAGTGGTAGAGAGTGCCACCACAGGCTGCCTCTTGCTCTGCCAAGAGATAGCTGCCCCATTCAGGCAAAACACATACCCACTGTGACTCTTGCGACTTGCGGAATCTCCAGCATAGTCGGCATCACTGAAGCCAACCAGCTGGACCTGAGATTGGGGCTGTGTTTGGAAGAAGATACCTGACTTGACACCACCTTTCAGGTACCTCAGCACTCTCTTAGCGGCCTGCAAGTGGAACATTTTAGGACAAGAGGCGACCTTAGATAGCTGTGAGACTGCGAATGCAATCTGCGGCTGTGTGGTAGTACAAGCATACATGAGGGATCCCACAATGCTTTGGTAGAGCTTGACCAGCTCATCTCGCAGCAAAGGTTCATCCTCATAGGCATGCACATCAAAGCCTGTCGGCAGAGGAGTACGCACGGGGTTGGCCTCTGAAAGACCAAAGGACTGAAGCATGTTAAGAATGTACCTCTCTTGATGAATCAAGATACCACTCTCATCACGCTCAATTTGCATTCCCAAGTAGTACTTCACCTCCCCCAAGTCCTTCATGCAAAAACGTAAGGACAAGAAGTCTTTCACTCGATCTAACAAAACCTTACTAGAGCATAGGAGCAAGAGGTCATCCACATAGAGGAATAAGGAGATCCTCTCCTCATCTCTCACAAAGTGGTACAAGGCAGGGTCACACTCAGATCTCTCAAACCCAAAATCCATGAGAGCCTCATCAAATTTCAGGTACCACTGTCGTGGGGCTTGCTTCAGCCCATAAATGGACCTTTTGAGGCGACACACTCCGTTAGACCCATCATCAAAACCAGGGGGCTGCCGCATGTAAAGCTCTTCTTCCAAATCCCCATGGAGGAAGGCTGTCTTGATGTCCATATGATGGATGTCAAGCTTCAAAGCAGCCAAAATTCCAAGCATACCTCTCAAGGTCGCATGCTTCCCAACTGGAGAGTACACTTCTTCATAGTGTACTCCCAATTTCTGCATGTTTCCCATCACCACCAATCTGGACTTAGGCCTCTCAACGGTACCATCAGGGTTATGTTTGTATTTCCAAACCCATTGACACCTGAGGACCTCCAAACCAGGTGGTACCACTGCTGGATCAACCAGCTCAAATGATCCATTTACCTTGTGAGACTCAAGCTCCTCATGCATGGACTCAACCCATTCGGGACGGTTCAGCGCCTCGTGGACTGACCTAGGCTCATGTACCTGACCCATTAGACACACATCAAGAGCATACTCATGCCCATGCATGTCCACAAGCATGCAATCATCCAAATCAGACACAAGATGATCATGCATGCGTGCAATGTGCCCCGGGGTAAACCTTTCAGGTGGCTGGGAAATTCGAGCACTGCGTCGCAGAGGTGTTGCCTCTCCTTCTTCCAGCCTCTGCAGCTTCTCCTCCCAAGTCACCCTCTTCATTGGAGTCCTTGGAGTCTTGGACAGCTGCTGGTTCAACAACTGCTGCCAACTGCTTCTCGATGGAGTTGAAGGCACATGCTGCTCTGGCTGATCATCATGCGCATCGGCCTGCGTGGCTGGCTGAGGGGTAGAATCTGTCTCTCGGGACTCCTCATGGTTAGAATCAGCTGGTTCTGGCTCCTCCTGCTGCTCCTCCCCTTCATCTCCAGGGTCCTCCCATGCCCCCTCAAAGATAGAGGCCGTATGAGGGTCGTGATTGGAAGTCCCACTATGGCTTGCACCACGCTCCTTCCACCCCTTATAATTCAGCCCCTCATGGAAAATCACATCACGGCTCTCCATCACACGCTGGTCAGCTACACTCCATAGCACCCAAGCCTTGCTCCTCTCAGAAACCCCAAGGAAGATCCCCCACTGTGCCTTAGGATCTAGCTTCCTCCTTTGCTGGTCAGGTACCTTATACTGTGCCATGCACCCCCACACTCGTGCCATGGAAACATTCGGCACCTTCCCTGTCCATAAGGAGTATGGGCTCTTGCCTCCAAGCCCCTTGCTGCCCATCCTGTTCTTCACCCAGTTGGCATACTGCACTGCTGCCCCCCACCAAGTGTTATCAAGCTCGGCATGGGCAAGAATGGCCCGAGCCAAATCGGTCTAAGTCCTGTTAAGCCGCTCCGCTGCCCCATTTTGCTGCGGCGTGTAAGGTACAGAGAGCTGGTGGGAAATACCCTTTTCTTCCAAGAAGATTTGAAGTTTTTTCCCAAGGTACTCTCCACCCCGATCTGACCTTAACACATTTACCTTGGCCCCTGATTCCCTCTCCACAGAGCGTATCCACCGCTTAAACACCTTTGCCACCTCATCCTTGGTCTTCACCAAGGTGACCCAGCTAAGTCGACTGAAGTCATCAAGAAAGGTGACAAAGTACCTGCTGCCCCTTTCCCGGTCAGGAGTTTGCATTGGTCCACACACATCCGTGTGTACAAGCTCAAGGGGAGTCGAGGCATGATCAGAGGAGATAGAGAATGAGGTTCTAGGCAGCTTTCCAGATGTGCAGTCAGGACATTTTCTCTGCTGCCCAGCTCCTTCCTTGACCTCCACCCCCTTCAGCTCCCCCTTCTTCACACACTCCAGTAGTTGCTGCTTCCCCGCGTGCCCCATGCGAAGGTGTAGCAACTCAGGTGACACCGTTTCCACCTGCTTCCAGCGAGTGCTACAAGCGGCTTCCTCAGAAAAAACCATATGTGCCTTGTAACAATTAGGCACACAAGCTAGAACAAGGTATAAACCCTTGTCCAGCTTTGCCTCCATCACCACAGCTTCACCTTTTCTAACAGTGCACCCTCCCTCAGTGAAAGTGCAGATGTATCTCTGTATAGCCAGCTGCGAGCATGAAAGGAGGTTTGCAGCCAAACCAGGGACGTGAAGGACCCCCTTCACACCCACTAGCTCCCCCTCCTTCCCCTTAATGGTGATCGTGCCGATGCCAATTGCCTGCAGCAAATCTCCGCTCCCAACAATCACTCTCCTAGAGTTTGGTGGGAGAGGATGGTAGGAGGTGAAAAGATCACGGCGAGGAAGCATCCCAGATGTTGCTCCAGAGTCTAGAACCAGGAAGTTGGGATCAGCCAATGCACGACCAGCGAGAGATGCATCCTGCCCTAGCATGAGAAACGAGAAACCATCATCGGAGGAGTCGTCTTGGCCCTTCCCCTTCTCATCCTTAGCAGCTGCGGCCGTTGCTCCCTTGCTGCCCTTCTTATTCCAGAGCCCCTTCTTCATCCTTTTCTCCACCCAATCAGGTTTGGTCACTGGTGGGGCCTCTCCAGAGTAGCCGTGAGGCTTCCATCCCTCAGGCCTACTCCAGCAACTCTTCCAAGAGTGTTTTTTGTTGCATCCGGGCACAAGGCATTTGTCCAACTCTATCTTCTTCCCCCCACCTCCTTGCTATTGATAGCCTTTCCTGAAGGAAGCTTTATCTGCTGCCCCCATGCCTCCTTCTAGGCCTCTTCCAGCATCAACCTTGCGAGCCTCATCAGAAATTAAAACCTCCCAAATCCACACCTTGGTCCATTTCTGTTGCTCGAGGTGAAGGTACTGTAGTAATGCCTCATTAGCCGCTTGATCCAACCCTTGGAGTGCAGTATAGATGATCTCCTTCTCATCTACCGTGTAATCTAGCTCCTCCAAAGCCCTCACATTCTCATCCACCCTCTGGAGATACTGAACCATGGTCTCCCCCTCTCCATAGTTCCGCTCCATGGTGTAAAACCGCTTCCGCCAAGTAAGCACGCTTAGAAGCCCTTTCTGCAAGTGCCTATCTTGCACTCTTTTCCAAGCTGCAGCTGCTGCACCTTCCTTCCCCTTCAGGTCAATCAGCATCTTAAAAAGCTCAAGTTGCCCCTCCAAAGCCCAACACAGGTACTGAAATGATTGGCGATCCTTCCGATCCCATGCTTCTTGAGCTTTGAGCAACTCCTCGCGACTTGGTTGCGACCTTCCGGTTCGAGTTGCAGCGGTTCCTCCTTCATTCCCCCCACTCAACGACGCTCCCCCAGCCCCGGATCCCACTTGGCTGGTTGCTCCAGTAGACGCCTCCACAGAGTCAGCTCGTGGTCGCTTCTCCGATGCATCCAACACACTTTCTAGGTCCTTAATACCTAGCCATAGTGTGAACTGGAACCTCCATAACGAAAAGTCCGAGCCGGTAAACCTAGGAGGGCCATCCAACTTTTGGGCCATGTCAAACACTAGATTTGGAGCACTTCAAGCCTCTCTAGATCTCTTCCAATGGAGGAAAGAACGTCCTCTAACCGTGGCTCTGATACCACTGATGGAAATCGTGCAAATCTGGAGAGAACTAATTAAAGATTAAGTTTGACGATCTCAACAAATATTGCGTGCAGCTCAGGTAACTTCTAGAAATGAGCTTATACGCGTTGGAAAGGTCTTAATCTCTACTTTCCAGAATGGTAAAGCACGTTCATAACCAAGATCTGAGCCGCCGATTATGACGAAATCAGTGTGAGGGGATATTCTGGTAATTTGGCTAGGCAGCCATGAATCACCTAGTAAAAACAAGAAGGGAAGCGGTTCGATCTGGAAAAGTTGCAGTATGTGATTGTCAAGCACCACCAACCCTTGCCCTAGACCAAACCCCAACACTCTCAAGTGCCGCGACTGCAACATCAAAGATGTTGTAGTGGGTTTGAGGTTGTATGTGTTGGTAAGGTAACGAGTTCAAACCTTGCCAACCAGCCCAAGTCCTTTTGCCCAAAACCCAATAGCCCACAACCAGCTAGAGCAAACTACACTACAGAATAATGCACATTTATCAGTTTTCCACCCCTCGAGAGTGACGTGCGAGTTGTTTGCGACCCTCTAGGGTGGTATGCCATCCCCCCGTGAGTGGCGTGCAAGTGGTTTATCACCCCTCAGTGTAAAGTGCCAGTGGTTTACCACCCCCCGAGGGTTGCGTACAAATGGTTTGCCAACCCCCAAGAGTGGAGTGCGAGTGGGTTGCCATCCCCTAAAGTGGCATGCGAGTGGTTTGCCACCCCCCGAAAGTGGCGTGCGAGTTGTTTGCCACCACCTAAGAGTGTAGGCGACTGTTTTGCCACCCTGAGAGAGTGGCAAGCGAGTGGTTTGCCACTTCCCGAGAGTGGCGTGCGGACTGTTTGCCAACCCCCAAAATTCTTGGGACTGGTTTGCCACCCCCTCGAGGTGGTGTGCGAATGGTTTGCCACCCCCCGAGAGGGGAGTGCGAGTGGTTTGCCACCCCCCAGAGTGGCATGCCAGTGGTTTGCCACCCCCCCTGAGAGTGACGTGCGAGTGGTTTGCCAACCCCACAATGTGGTGTGCGAGTGGTTTGCCACACCCCCGAGTGGCGTGCGAGCTGTTTGCCACCCTCCGAGAGTTGCTTGCAAGTGGTTTGCCACCCTCCAGAGTGACGTGCGTGTGTGTTGCCTCCGTCCGAGAGTGGCATGCGAATGGTTTGCCACCCCCCAGAGTGGCGTGCGAGCGGTTTGCCACCCCCCAAGAGTGGCGTGCGAGTGGTTTGCCACCCCCTGAGAGTGGCATGGGAGTGGTTTGCCACCCCCCGAGAGTTGTGTGCAAGTGGTTTTCCACTCCCAGAGTGGCATGCCAGTGGTTTGCCACCCCTTGAGAACGGCGTGCGAGTGGTTTGCCACCCCCTCAAGTTGCGTGCGAGTGGTTTGCCACCCCCTATGAGTGGCGTGCGAGTGGTTTGCCACCACACGAAAGTGGTGTAGGAGTGATTTGCCACCTCCTGAGAGTGGTGTGGGAGTGGTTTGCCACCCCTTAGAGTGGCGTGCGAGTGGTTTGCCACCCCTTGAGAGTTGCGTGCAAGTGGTTTGCCACCCCCTCAAGTGGCGTGCGGGTGGTTTGCCACTCCCTAGAGTGGTGTGCGAGTGGTTTGCCACCCCCTGAGAGTGGTGTGCGAGGTGTTTTCCACCCTCCGAGAGTGGCTTGGGAAAATCCCACCATCATCTGGTCTAAACTCCCACCACCACCTGGTCAAAACATACACCACCACCCGGTCTAAACTCCCACCTCTCCCCGGTCTAAAAACCCACCTTCACCCAGTCGCAAATCCCACAACCACCCAGTCTGAATTCCCACCACCACCCGGTCTGAACTCCCACCACCACTCGGTCTGAACTTCCATCACCACCTGGTCTGAACTCCCATCACCACCTGGTCTAAAATCCCACCACCACCCACTCTAAACTTCAACAAGAGCCCTGTCCTAACTTCCACCACAGCCAAGTCTAAAATCCCACCATCACCCGGTCTAAACTCCCACCACCACCCCGTCTGAACTCCCACCACCACCCGGTTTCAATTCCCACCACCACCCAGAATAAAATCCCACAACCATCTGGTCTAGACTCCTACCACCACCTGGTCTAAGCTTCCACCATCACCCGGTCTAAACTCCAACCACCTTCTGGTCTAAACTCCCACCACCACGCAGTCTAAACTCCCACAACCACCCCGTCTAAAATCCCACCACCACCCGGTCTGAAATCCCATCTTCACCAGGTCTGAACTCCCACCACTACCCAGTCTGAACTTCCACCACCACCCGGTCTAAACTCCTACCACAACCCAGACGAAACTCTCACCACCACATGGTCCAAACTCTCTCCACCATCTGGTCTAAACTCCCACAAATACTCTGTCTTAACTCCCACCACCACTCGGTCTAAAATCCCACCATCACCCGGTCTAAGCTCCCACCACCACCCGGCCTAAACTCCCACCACCACCCGGTCTAAACTCCCAACAACACCCCGTCTAAACTCCCACCACCACCCTGTCTAAACTCCCACCATCACCCGGTCTAGAGTCACACCACCACCCGGTCTTAACTCCCACCACCACCTTGTCTACACTCTCACAACCACCCGTCTAAACTCCCACCAAAACCTGGTCGAAACTTGCACCACAACCCGGTCTAAACTCCCAGCACCAACCGCTATAAACTCCCACAACAATCCCGGTCTAAACTGCCACCACCACCCGATCTAAACTCCCGCCACAACCCGCTCGTATCTCCCACCACCATCCAGTCTAAACTCCCACAACCACCCTGTCCTAACTCCCACCACCACTAAGTCTAAATTCCGACCACCACCAGGTCTATACTCCAACAACCACCCAGTCTAAACTCCCACCACCACCCATTCTAAACTCCCACCACCAACCAATATAAACCCCCACCACTACCCGGTTTAAACTCCCACCACCACCCGGTCTAAACTCCCACCACCACCCGGTCTTAACTCCCACAACCATCCGGTATAAACTCATAGAACCACCTCGTCTAAAATCCTACCACCACCAGGTCTAAACTCCCACCAGCACCCAGTCTAAACTCCCACCAGCACCCAGTCTAAACTCCCACCACCACTCGGACAAAAATCCCACCTTCATGAGGTCTGAACTCCCACCACCACCCGGTCTGATCTCCCAACACCACCCGGTTTGAACTCCCACCATCAGACAGTCTAAAATCTCATCCACAACCTGGTCTCAAATCCCGCCACCACCCGGTCTTAACTCCCACCACAACCTGGTCTAAACTCCCACCACAACCCGGTCTTAACTCCCACCACCACCTGGTCTAAACTCCCACCACAACCTGGTCAAATATCCCACCACCACGCGGTCTAAACTCCCACCACCACCCGGTCAAAACTCCCACCACCACCTGGTTTTAAATCCCACCACCACCTGGTCTAAACTTCCACCACCAACCGGTCTAAAACTCCCACCACCACCCTGCAAAAACTCCCACCATCACCCGGTCTAAACTCTCACCAGCACCCAGTCTAAAATCCCACCACCACCCGGACTAAAATCCCACCTTCATGAGGTCGGAACTCCCTCCACCACCCGGTCTGATCTCCCAACACCACCCGGTCTGAACTTCCGCCGCCACCCAGTCTGAACTTCCACCATCACCCGGTCTAATCTCCCACCACCACCCGGTCTAAACTCCCACCACCATCCAAAATCGACTCCCACCACCACCCACTCTAAACTTCAACAAGAACCCTGCTTTAACTCCCACCACAACCAAGTCTAAAGTCCCACCATCACCCGGACTAAACTCCCACCACCACCCCGTCTGAAGCCCCACCACCACCCGGTTTTAACTCCCACCACCACCCGGTCTAAAATCCCACCACCATCTGGTCTAAACTCCCACCACCACCTGGTCTAAACTCCTACCACCACCTGGTCTAAGCTTCCACCATCACCCGCTCTAAACTCCAACCACCTTCTGGTCTAAACTCCCACCACCACCCAGTTTAAACTCCCACAACCACCCTGTTTAAACTCCCACTACCACCCGGTCTGAAATCCCACCTTCTCCAGGTCTGAACTCCCACCACTACCTAGTCTGAAATCCCACCACAGCCCTGTCTGAACTCCCACCACCACCCGGTCTAAACTCCTACCACAATCCGGACAAAACTCTCACCACCACATGGTCCAAACTCTCTCCACCATCCGGTCTAAACTCCCACAAATTCTCTGTCTAAACTCCAACCACCACTCGGTCTATAATCCCACCATCACCCGGTCTAAGCTCCCACCATCACCCAGTCTAAGCTCCCACCACCACCCAGTCTAAACTCCCAACAACACCCCGTCTAAACTTCCACCACCACCCGGTCTAAGCTCCCACCATCACCCGGTCTAAACTCACACCACCACTCTGTCTTAACTCCCACAACCACCTTGTCTACACTCTCACAACCACCCAGTCTAAACTCCCACCACAACCTGGTTGAAACTCGCACAACAACCCGGTCTAAACTCCCAGCACCAACCGCTCTAAACTCCCACCACAATCCTGGTCTAAACTGCCACCTGCAACCGATCTAAACTCCCGCCACAACCTGGTCATAACTCCCACCACCATCCAGTCTAAACTCCCACCACCACCCGGTCTAAACTCCCACCACCACCCGGTCTAAACTCCCACCACCACCCCGCAAAAACTCCCACCATCACCCGGTCTAAACTCCCACCACCACCCGGTCTGAAATCCCACCACCACCATATCTGAAATCCCACCACTACCCAGTCTAAACTCCCACCACTACCCAATCTAAACTCCCACCATCACCTAGTCTAAACTTCCACCACCACCCGGTCTATTCTCCCACCACCACCCGGTTAAAAATCCCACCACCAATCTGGTCTAAACTCGCACCAGCACCCGGTCTATACTCCCACCAGCACCCAGTCTAAACTCCCACCACCACTCGGACTAAAATCGTACCTTCATGAGGTCTGAACTCCCACCACCACCCGGTCTGACATCCAAACACCACCCGGTCTGAAATCCCACCACCACCCGGTCTGAACTTCCACCATCACCCGATCTATTCTCCCACCACCATTCAGTCTAAACTCCCACCACCACCGGGTTTTAACTCCCACCACCACCCGGTCTAAAATCCCACCACCATCTGGTCTAAACTCCCACCACCATCTGGTCTAAAGTCCTACCATCACCTGGTCTAAGCTTCCACCATCACCCAGTCTAAACTCCAACCACCTCCCGGTCTAAACTCCAACCACCACCCGGTCTAAACTCCCACAACCACCCCGTCTAAACTCCTACCACAACCCGGTGTAATCTCCCACAACCACCCCGTTTAAAC